GTACGATTGTTGATATAATGCTACAATATGTATGATATTCATAATATTTCTATTTCATACCAATTCAAAAATTTATATCAAAAGAGAAGAAAGAAATCTATACTATACAATATATTTGCAAAAAAAGAATAATGAGTGTACTAACAATCAAAAATCATGATTACCTGAAATCTAACAAATATTATAATCAAACTCAACTATGTAATTGTTAAATTAGTGTCAAACACAGATTGACTTTTCGACCAATCATACATAAATAATGCATTTAAAATATTACTACTACTATCAAAATTACCTCAATATCATTGTCATGAAGATTTTCTTGATCTATCATGTATATATACTTGATTGGAGAAGTATAACGAATACGTAAAAAAAAACATTCAATTACAAAAGCATAACTAACTACATGAAAATGAAAATATAGACTTGAGATGAAATATTTCTTATCTTCATATATTCCTTTCGTGTTACAAGTTATAAAATACAACTCAAAAGTGATGAAGAAAAGAAATACTAACTTTGGGAGTATTCATGAACAAAACATGAGTTTATATAGGAAAAATAGGGGAATACAATAAGGCATTGCAAATTAAAGTTTGGGGGTTATGAACATAAAAATTATGAAAGTTATGAATATTATTAAGAGTAGAAATTGAAGAGTTATGGATTATGAGCAATTAATCCTTATAGATACATTAAATTTAAAATATATATAAAATATTAGTATTAGTTTATAATCAGAAGAAGGTAAAATGAATTAAGAAAGGAGAAGACATGGAGTGACTTTTCACTTCTTCAACCGTATACATTATATTATAATTAATAAAAATCAATGTAGTAACTTATAGACAATGAATTAATATGGTTGTTAAAAAAAATTAATGAAACCTCGTAAATAGGATAGGTTATAGTTAGTTATTAAACTAAAAATAAGAAGAAAAAATAGGGAAAATGTCTTAAAAAAAGAGAAAAAAGATAAATAACAATGATTGCCTTAGAGAGGTGTCACATCACCTTGTCTACATTTGACTTTATATTATATATAGATTTTATTTTATTTGTAAAAAAAATTGAACAAATCTAAAAGAAACGAAAAAATGTCAAAATTACCCTCTAACTATTCAAAATAGCTCATTATAACCTTTATTTATGTTTGAGATCAAAATTACTATTGTTGTCTATGTTTTGGACCACAAATACCCTTGAAGCGTTACTTTGCCATATGTGCTAACATGATAGTCCACCTATGCAGTCCAACATGACAAAAATTTCCTCCTCTCAATTATGTTGTTCTTCCTTGTCCATCTCTATTACAATACTTTTTTAATTTTTTTAAAAATAAAAAATAGTTCTTTTATTGTTCTTGTTTGAGTTATTGTTCGGACTTTAAAATTTCAATTCGAAGTGCGTTAAAGTTCGTTTGAGATAATAATTGTGTGTTGAATGATCGAATTCATTGTTTGACTTTTGATATCATCAAATCTGAGGCTGAAAATTTAATTCTCAAGGTTGAAAAATGTCGAACTCTTGAAGTCATTCTTTTTGTGTTAAAACTCAAAAATTGCTACTCATTTGAAAGCTTGTTGGTGAGTAATTTCTAGCTTTTGTTGAGTTTTTGAAGTGCAAAAAATTGAAGAGATTTAATTGAATGTTACTAAAAAATTGTTTGATATTGCAATTGAAGCTGATAATTGACATTTAACAACCGATTTCTTAGTTTGAAGATTGAGTTGAAATCTCAAAAAAATATAAAAAAAAATATGAAAGAGTTCTTAAAAGCTGAAAAATCTAAAAATCGATTTTGTGAATCTGTGACCCCAAAACCCAAACAATGAACTCAATCCTTCAACACGCAATCACAACCTCAAACAAACTTCAGCTCACTTTGAAATTGGAGCTCCAAAGTCCGAACAACAACTCAAACAAGAACAATGAAAGAATTATGTTTAATTTTCTTTTTGTGACAGAGATGAACAAGCTATAACAACGTTATTGAGAGGAAGATATTTTTGCCATGTTGGACTGCATGGGTGGACTGTCATGTCAGCGCTAATGACAAAAATAATATTTTAAGGGTATTTGTGGTCCAAAACATAGATGGCAATGGTAGTTCGATCCCAAATATATATTGAAGGGTATATAAAAGCTATTTCAAATATTTCGAGGGTAATTTTAATCCTTTTTCGGAAAAATAACAATCAGTTTCTTCTGGCAAATAGTTCAATGACTTTCTTTTTCATCGGCTTCTTCCACCACTTGATTAAAAAAAACACTTGATAATTATTATTTTAAAAAAAACTTTTATTTATTTTGTAACAAATAAATTATTCAATTACTTTTATATTTTTTACCTATACATGGTGTATTATTTATTTGCCCTTTTAAGGTACATCGTCTAGTCAAGTTCAACATATTCCTCATTAACAATTAAAGTCATAACTTGTTAGCAATATTGTAATTATTTCGAAAGATTTATTTAGACAACTAAGTTAATTTGAGCTAAAATAAAATATTTAACGCGAACAATCAAATCTATGTATCTCAAAAATACCCGTGAATCATAATAAATATAGAAAATTAACCCAATTCTTTTGTACACCAAAAGAAGAAGAAAAAGGTACCATAGAAAAAGTAGTACTTCAACTCCCTTTTTAAACAAACAAATTAAAATGGTTAATATGATTATGTTGCAACATATAGATAAGTGGAGAAAGTAGAAACTATTGTAAGGTGAGAAACTTTGCCAATTTGGAGTAGGAAGTGATAAAATATTATGTATTCACCGTCCTTTTCAAATCTGTTATTAATCCTTTTCTTTTATAGTTTTTATCTGTTTTATAATTGTATATTATTAATATGTTAATATAGCTTTTTCCGTTTAAATAAGACTTTTGAGTCTGGAATTCTTATAAGCTAAAAATATATAAATGTCATTAAAATTGATAGTCTTAAATATGTCAGGTAAAAAATTGAAATTAAAAAATTGTCAAAAAAAGAGACAGCTTTTTAAATGAACTAATAAGGAAAGTAAGATAAACAAAATGAAATGAAGGAAATATTTATTTTGTACTACATATTAATTTATTATTGATTCCTATAACCACGAGAGACTGAAGAAGTAATACCATTAATTGTGATATTAATAGATTATTAATATTTATTACCTTACGACATCTATCTCTTTTATGTTATCATTGATTCTACACTTATTACAACAAGTTATGCAATCAAAATGATTCCGTTTAGATTGATTTAATTTAAATAGATTTTATGTTTCAAGTGCTTAATAACAATTTTTATGTATTGGAGCTTAATTTATGAGGAAAACTAATAATTATAAACGATAGAAAAACTAATATAATTAATCAAAGCAAACATGCTTTTAACTAAAACGCAATAAGTTGGGCAACAATTTCAACTTATTATTTTTGGCTTATTTTAGCAAAGAAATATTTTTCTTAAAAGATATTTTCGAACTTCATCAAACACGATAAATATTTGAAAAAAACTTAGAACCAACTTTTAAATTCATTCAAATGAGCTTTACTAAAAACAACGTGTTTTTAGTTCAAGCATATATTTCCTCGTTCTTTAATACTCGAGGAGAATAATACATTTTCATTATCCAACTACAATAACTCTATATAAATGTAATCGCGAGAGGCATGTATACATTTTTGAGAAATATAAATATAATTGAAAAATAAAAAGTATACTTTATAATAGAAATATTAAGTGAAGTGAGTATCCCAACACTTTTTCATTATATTTGTAAAAAATAAAAATATTTTCTCAAATACTCTGTTTACGGATTATTAATAGTTAATTCACCAACAACTCACGTCTCCTTTGAATTTCTCAAATAGCAATTAAAACAAAGAAATGTTTTTAGCACAAATAAATTAATATAGGATTGACATCTTTTAATTAAATACAAGTATATTTTTAGTTATTTAAATTTTTAAATAAAATGATCACACTTCAACGTAACAATAACAATCATAAGGTCCTGATTTATCTTTCACTGTCATCTATTATCAAAAACGATTTTCATATATTTGACACATGAAAATATGAAATATGAGTTAGATGTGGTGTTCAAAACGCGTAACTCCCAACTGTCTGATGGCCACCTTTTATTGAATTTAATGAATTGTTGAAATAGTCCAGGTTCTTTGTTACTTGAAGGGTTAGGTAGATAAAATTGTAATTGGAGTCATACTTAATGGATTTATTTTTCATAAAATATAAAAGTTTGATGCAAAGTTTTCATTTTTTAAAATTACTTAACAAGTGTATTTTGGCAAAATAGAGGAATACATTCACAAACCAGTTAGTAGCTACAAAATGACTTCTTATAATAAGTTATTTGGACTAGTTTTTTCATATTTGATTTCATATTATACACAAGTATCCAGAAATTAGTATAACAAAAGATCATAGTATTGATGACAGAGCTAGTTTTCCACCTATGAATTCTACAAAACTCAAACAGTTTTGATGCATAACTAGTACTAGTATTTATATTGAGACAAATTAAAGAAAAACATATAATACCTAGTTAAGTACAACAACTAGCTAAACATGTCATTAGGGGTGGAGCTACTTGGACACCCTTCATCAAAAAATGATATTGTATATACAAATTAAATGATAAACGAAATGATTAAATAACATATTTTGAATACCATAATACAATAAGGTGTTGTAGCACAGTAATTTCAGATGCTTTAAAAGCACTAGCACTTCATAGTGTTTGCGTGTTCAAATCTACACCCTTGGTGAAATTAAGAGGAACAACATACATAGAATTGGAGCTGCCCCCAAGTTGGCACAAACACAATTAATCATGATGAAATATTACTGAAAATTTACACAACCCAATACTTCACTTGCCTTTTTTTTTTTCTTTCTATAAATACCTTTCCTCATTCTCTTCCTAGACCAAACACTAGCTATACTTTTTAATTTTTTTAGTAAGAATGAGTTCTTTGTCAAAATTTATGAGTGCTAATGTAGTTTTGTCTAAGCTGGCTACTAACAAACAATATGCTGAAAATTTGCCATATGTGGAGGGGATGAAAGCATACGATAATAATCCTTTCCACCCTGTGAAAAACCCGAATGGGGTTATTCTAATGAATCTCGCGGATAATCAGCTTTCAGTTGACCTGATTAAAGAATACTTGACTAAGAAAAATCTACAAATTTCCATTGAATTTTTCAGGAAATTAGCCAACTTCCAAGACTATCATGGCCTGCCTGAATACACAGAAGTAAGTATCTTTAATTATTTTACGATCCTGATACATCCTATTACGAAATATGATCAATAGCTAGTACGTATTGTTAAAATGGGTGATATATTTTTGATCCTTCATATAGGGCCGGTGCTCAAAACATATTTACAATTATTTACTTGACTTTTTTTGTTTTTGTTTTTGTTTTTTGCAGGCAATTGCAAAATATATGGAAGAAACAAGAGGGGGTAAGGTTAAGTTTGATCCAAAACGTGTAGTAATGTCTGCTGAAGCTAATGGAGCTAAACAAACTCTCATCTCTTGTTTGGCTGATCCTGGTGATGCTCTTTTAGTCCCTGCCCCTTTTTACCCAGGGTATGCATGTGTGTTCTCCAATCTTAAACTTGTTCATATATTATCGGGGAACTAATCAGAGGCGGAATCAGGATTATGAGTTTGGGGTTTCTACATTTTTTGTTGATAGTGCAATTGGAACCCACAACTCTATTGTCGAAAACATTTTCACAACTCCTTCCTTACCACTAAGTTGTCAATCAATTTTGTTAGGAGTCGTTTACGAGTTAATATACATATATATTTATTGATTTTTCTAGTATATATACAGGATCTACGGAAAAGCTATTGGGTTTGCTTAAACCACGAACTCCCACCTAACTCTGCCCCTGAGAACACAACAGATCCTTATTTGTTTTATTCATCTTCATCGTTTCTCAAGCTTAAACCCCTACCATTCTTTTTTTTTTTTATCTTCTTCATTGTATTGCTTTTCTAGATCTACCATCACTGGCCTTCACCTTTTTTGCCGATAGAAATGGATATCAAGACCTATATTTATACTTTTTTCTCTCTTCATCTAGAAAAGCAATACCTTCTTCATTGTATTGCTTTTCTAGATCTACCATCATTGTCCTTCACCTTTTTCGCCGATAGAAATGGATATCAAGACCTATATTTATACTTTTTCCTCTCTTCATCTAGAAAAGCAATACAATGATCTTCTTCATTGTATTGCTTTTCTAGATCTACCATCACTGTCCTTCACCTTTTTCGCCGATAGAAATGGATATCAAAACCTATATTTATACTTTTTTCCTCTCTTCATGTTACTCTCTTCTTCCCACAAAACAACACTAAAAAAGAGGAAGAGAAAGAACAAATTAATCGTAAAATGTTAGTCAAAACTCTTATAATTTAACTCAAAAAAAAGAAAAAACCATAACAATTAAAAGTGGACAAAGAGAGTAGTAACTTTTTTACCTAGCATCTACGTATAATCATTTAATGCTACGTATAATCATTTAATGGGTTGTTTGACACATTAATTATATTCTTTTCCGATAGCCATTCAAATAATTGACTCCGATCCCCATCCATTTCAATGTCATACACAAAAAGACAACTCGAAGACTCATAAAAATAAAGTTTAATCTGCAGCAGATCCACACCCGTTTTCTCTGTCCTATTTTATATGAGTTAGTTTGATTTGATATAAAATTTAAGAAAAAAGGGAATATTTTTTAAAATTGTGATAAAAAATAAGTGATAGATATTTGTATGACTATAAATTATGTACATTTAAAGTTATATTATTATTTGATATAGAAATATATCATTCGTTTTTACACGGACTAAAATGAAAAGTAAATCATATAATATATTGAAACAGAAAGTGTAATATTTTTGAAACTATATATGCAACACCTATTGTTCTATCTTAATTCTTAATTGAACAAAACAAATAGTATATATGATAATAATAAACACATAAATCACCTTATTGTCATTTTTATTGTTGTTAACTTCAAAATGGAATCTCTACATACATAAATTGGGATGCCATTTCAATATTTATAAGGATTTAAGTTATCTACGCAGATTTGCTAAGGACATACGTTGGGGAACTAATGTTCAACTTGTGCCCATTTCATGCAAGAGCTCCAACAATTTCAAGATCACTATAGAAGCTATCAAAGAGACATTTGAAAAAGTCCAAGAAGAAAAAATCAAAGTCAAAGGCATGATTTTGTCCAACCCTTCTAATCCATTAGGCACTATTTTGGATAGGGACACACTAAAAAAAATCTTGACCTTCACTAACGAACATAACATCCACCTTGTTTGCGATGAAATCTATGCTGGCACCGTATTTGATGCTCCACAATTCGTTAGCATCGCTGAAATTATGGATGAAATTTCATGTGTTAATAAAAAATTGGTACATATTGTGTCTAGTGTTTCCAAAGAAGTGGGTTTTCCAGGATTTCAAGTGGAAATTGTGTATTCCTTCAATGATGATGTCGTTAATTGTGCTAGAAAAATGTCGAGTTTCAGTCTTGTTTCCTCTTTGACACAACATTCTCTACCTTCCATGTTTGGCAATGGATTTATCGAAAAATTTCTCATTGAAAATACTAAGAAATTAAGGGAAAGGCATGAGAAATTCACTAGCGAACTTGAAAAAGTCGGAATCAAATGCTTAAAAAGCAATGCTGGGGTTTATTGCTGGGTGGATTTGAGAACTTTGCTGAAAGAGCAAACACCTGATGCTGAGGAGTCACTATGGAAACTGATCATAAATGACGCGAAGCTCAATATCTCACCTGGATCTTCTTTTAGTTGTTCGGAGGCAGGATGGTTTCGAATTTGTTTTGCAAATATCGATGATCAAACTATGGAGATCGCCCTCCAAAGAATTCAAAAGTTTGTTCAGTCTAACACTAGAAAATTAATGTTATGAGTTTCAATATGTTGCCTCCTAATTATCTGAGGAGTTGTTGTTGTTATTATTACTATTATAAATAAAGAAGTTGTATTATTATTCACAAGTTTATCAGTCAAATTTATTTTGGTACTATATGGTTTTAATTATTATTTTATTTGGTCAAATATTGAACTTTTATTTAATCAAAAGTGAATCATTTACAAATTGATAGTTCCACTGGACTCTAGGAACTTGACCTCGAAGAAAAAAAACCTCTTATGTATTAAGAAAATTATAATATTTTTGGTCTAGCTTTTAGATATCTAAATTTTTTGTTTAAAATATCGAATTAATGTAATATAATTTAACTTTTAAAATTAATCAATTTGCCTTTCAAAAAACTCAACGATAATTAAAAGTGGACGGAGAAAGTATGTAAAAGTAAACGGAGGAAATAATAAAATATTATATGAAAAATGTTGGTGGACTTTCTCAACAATTTATCACCAATCACTTGAACTGAAAAATGTTGGGACTGATGTCTCTTTCTCATATACTCCTCCGTCCCTAATTACTTGTCAACTTTTAAATTCACACACCTATTAAAAAATTAATTATTGACATAGTGAGTTTACCATTTTATCCCTATTAAGATGAATTAATTAATATTTTCAAAAAGTTCTACCTTTTTCAAAGTAATTAATTGAGGGTATAATATAATTTTTTTTTTGTCCTTTTTTAATTTGTCAAAATGGACAAGTAATTAAAGATAACTATAAAAAAAAATGGACAAGTAAATCGAGACACAGAGTATAGTTAAAGCCCACAAGATATTATTCATTCTCTTCAGAAGACTTCTTTGTCCAACGCACGTGCATCAAAATACTGTTTTTCCAACGTCATTAATTAAATCTAACGTTTTTCATGATTTCATCTCTATAAAGTAATTCTTCAATGCCAATTATTTTTCACAATCAAATGTTATTAGTAAAGGATTATAATTTTCTCTCAATATTATGATAAAACAACCATTGAAATAATACTTCCACCCTCAAACATTATGAATTTTAATAGAAATGATTTCTTAATGGCCCCAAATATTTATTTTTAATTTTTTTTTAATCATGAATTGTTGTAATTTCATATGAATCGAACTAGTATTTCTTAGCAATTTTTATTTATTTGTAAAAATAATAATTAAACACTGATAAAAAAAAATTCATTGTTTTTTTTTGTTTTACTTATACATGAATCATGATGTGTCTTTAATTAGTACGTAGTACATCGTCTGGTCAAGTTCCACTTTTTCCTCATTAACAAATTAAAGTGTAACGGCTCATGTGGTCGTTTTGAGTAATAGAACTTTTTATCACCTTTTCCACATTCGAACGATTAATCCCATGAAATTTCAAAAGTTTAAGAAAAAGACCTTTGTAATCGAAATTTTCACTCTCATCATAACCACGAAATGACAATCCATTTCTTAGGAGAAACCTTACCACATCGATTGAGGCATTTAAACGAATTCGATAATCATTTTTTTTTTTTTATTATTATTATTATATTATTATTATTATTATTTTATTATTATTATTATTATAAATAAAGTTGTTGTATTATTATTATTTTTTATTATTATTATTATTATAAATAAAGTTGTTGTATTATTATTCACAAGTTTATCAGTCAAATTTATTTTGGTACTATATGGTTTTAATTATTATTTTATTTTGGTCAAATATTGAACTTTTATTTAATCAAAAGTGAATCATTTACAAATTGATAGTTCCACTGGACTCTAGGAACTAGACCTCGGGAAAAAAAAAACCTCTTATGTATTAAGAAAATTATAATATTTTTGGTATAACTTTTAGATATCTAAATTTTTTATTTAAAATATCGAATTAATGCCCAAAACCTTCGACCCTTCTTTCTAAATGGGGGTGCCCGAGGCACCTCATCTTCTCATTTCGTCGTTGCTCATTCCCGTTAGGCCGAAGTGTTTGGCCTTTCCTTCTCCGCGCCCGCTCAGGCTTCGCTGACCTATCGCGTGGTAAAAAGAAGAAAGTATGAAAGAATAGTAAACGGAGCACACCGCAGAAAGATTCTAAATATGAAAATATAATTTAATTTTTAAAATTAATCAATTTGCCTTTCAAATAATTCAACGATAATTAAAAGTGGACGGAGAAAGTATGTAAAAGTAAACGGAGGAAATAATAAATATTATATGAAAAATGTTGGTGGACTTTCTCAACAATTTATCACCAATCACTTGAATTGAAAAATGTTGGGACTGATGTCTCTTTCTCATATACTCCGTTGTCCCTAATTACTTGTCTATTTTTGAATTAACATACCTATTAAGAAAATAATTATTGACATAGTGAATTTATCATTTTACCCTTATTAATTATGAAGTGGATGAATTAAAAATTTAATAATTTCAAAAAGTTCTACCTTTTTCAAAGTAATTAATTGAGGGTATAATAGGAATTTTTTTTGTCCTTTCTTAATTTGTCAAAATAGATACTAAGTAATTAGGGACAATTATAAAAGAAAAAATGGACAACTAAATTAGAAACAAAGAGACTATATTTAAAGCCCACATGATCTATTCATTCTCTTGAGGAGACTTTTTTGTCCAACACACGTGCATCAAAATACTGTTTTTCCAACGTCATTAATTAAATCTAACGTTTTTTCATGATTTCATCTCTATAAAGTAATTCTTCAATGCCAATTATTTTTCACAATCAAATGTTATTTAGTAAAGGATTATATTTTTCTCTCAATATTGTGATAAAACAGTCATTGAAATAATACTTCCACCCTCAAACATTATGAATTTTAATAGAAATGATTTCTTAATGGCCCCAAATATTTATTTTAATTTTTTTTTATCATGAATTATTGTAATTTCATATGAATCGAACTGGTATTTCTTAGCAATTTTTATTTTATTTATTTATTTGTAAAAAAAAAAACTAAACACTGATAATTTTTTTTTACTTATACATGAATCATGATGTGTCTTTAATTAGTACGTAGTACATCGTCTGGTCAAGTTCCACATTTTCCTCATTAACAAATTAAAGTGTAACTACCCATGTGGTCATTTTGAGTAATAGAACTTTTTTTTTCATAAAAGACTCTTTCGATAGATTCTGAATATGTATTTTGGACTATTTGTAACTATAGTTATATGATTAAGGGGATAGTTTAATAATTAATTTAATTGATGGTTAAAGAAAATAATATTAAAATTAGTAGGGGGTCACTTTTACCACTTTTATAATTAGGAATGTATAATAATTAGGGTAAAAAAAATATTCTGGAGAAGGGAAGAAAAACAAAGAAGAGTCGCATGATCGTAAAGGAAAATTTGAAAGGCGGCTTCAGGTAATCCCTCACCACGCCTAATCCATGTATTGATTTATATCATATTTAATTAATATTACAATATGTTGGTTTGTGAAGAACTGGGTTTCAATTTGATTGGACCGTTGATTTTACAATTGATGATCGAATAGCTTTCTGTTGAAAATTATTAAAGTATAATAGTGGGTGCCTAAATTGCATTCTTTTGGCATAATAGTGGTCATTTTAGTATGAGTATAGGTAGTGCTGCAAATTGAGTTTCGCAGCGAGTAATTGTTAATGAAGTGAAATGTAGTAATAATAAATGATAAATTAACGGTATTATTAGATTGGGGTGTTACGTTTCAACACGGTATTATTAGATCGGGGTATCATGTTTCGATACGGTATTATTGGAGTCACGTTTCGACATGATATTATTGGACGGGGTGTTACGTTCTGACACGGTATTATTAGATCGGGGTGTCACGTTCCGACTCGGTATTATTGGATCGGAGTGTCACATTCCGACACGGTAACATTAAAGAGGAAAACATATTGAATTAACTAAATGTACTCAATCTCAAAGAACTCATTTCCCAAACGAGTGTGGTGTGGAGGCATGAGTCCTCGTGTGTGTGTTTGATATTGTGATTGATTACGTACTTGCTTCAGTTGTCACTTGTTCATGTTGTTTGTTGTTTATCACCTCCTAAGTGCTATAGTTGATTTTATACTATTACTTTATGCATATTAGTTACTATTTTGAGTCGGCCATGATATCTACTCAGTACATGTTGCCCTGTACTGAGCCCTACTTGTGCTTTTCTTTGTTTTTCTTTTGTGGAGTGCAACGAGTGTACCATCGACTTCGACTTGCCCTCAGCTCTAGCTAGTCTCCAGCATATCAGGTTCCAGGGTGAGCTATTCATTCAAGCTCGTGTTGGATTCTCTTGGTCATGGTATGATGTCCTTAGTTTTCAGACATAAATTATTTTATTCATTTATTTTGGTGTCGTTAATACTCTTAGACTTAGTATTTGAAGATTAGATGTCTTTGATGTGATGACTTTCAGATTTTGGGAATGACATATAGTAGACTTCAATGGATTTGTGTTTCTTACCCTAATAAGATTTAAGCTTTTGCATTATGGTTAGTATTTTGTAAGTTGAATGGTAAATATAAGTTGGGGTTGAATTCATTGGTTCGCCCACCTAAGAGGTTAAGTGTGGGTGCCACTCATGACTCGGTTTGGGTCATGACATAAAATCATAACTTTCAGAAAATTATATATTGTACGTGTAGTTAAGATACAATTTTTAAGGTTTTTACGAAGGAGAAATTATCTAATTAAACTAATATTCCTATCATATTTATTAGTATAGCTTACAGAAATCTCATACATTTTGACGCTAATTACATTCTATTCCGAAAGTTTTTCCAACTACAAATTTTAGATTTTTTATGCTCTCGGATACATTTCTTGATTATCAGATACATTGCAAATGATACATTACTTAATGAGAATTATATATCCTAGAGGAAATAGAGATATATCCGAGAGGGGATAGAGATATATTCGAGAGGGGTTAGGGATATATCCAAGGGGAGATTTTTGTAATTTTCTTTAGAATGATATGAAATTCAAAGATTGTGATATCTTAAGTTGTGCATT